TACAGCCCAATCCCCTGACGTGGTCTGGTGCCACGTGCTTTGTACAACTATGCACAACCAATCTGGAGTCAAATTGCTTAGGTTTGAATCCCAACTGTGTGACCTTGGGGATAGTACTTATAACCTGCTCTGTCGCCATTTCCTCATCTATAAGAAGTACCCTACAGTTATTTATGGATTAGATGGCAATAAATGAATATAAAGCACTTATGGGGATGCCTAGCACAAGGTTAGCAAGTGTTCAAAAACTCTTCAGTATTATTATTATTGTTTTCAGGAACCTTCTTCTAAAATAAGTTTTAAGAAATAAAACTAGTTTTGAAGCAAGGCTTGCAGGACGCTGTTGGCTTTCTTACCACTAGAGTCTGTTTCAGAATCAGAGTCACTGTCGCTATCTTCAGAATACTTCTTGTGTTTTCTTTTCGATAAATTTTTTTTTCTTCCTTTCTTGGACCTTTCACTTGAATGACTAGACTACTTTTTTTCTATAAAAAATACAAATAAAAAAGTAACTTCTAAAAAAGTATTTCTGATTATCAATCTTACTACATTTGAAATACTGAAAAGGAATAGATGATAGGCAATCTGAATAAAAGTAAAGTCTAATGTTCAACTATTTATAAACATTTTTTAACTTCTCAAGAAAGGTCTGTATCTTAAAAATACCTTCTGATGTAGAAACTGAAGTAGTACATTTCTTTGGCTCTTCATTCTCTACTTGAATATGTTCAGCAGAGCTGAATTTAAAGAAAATGGTTATAAGAATTAGAAAAGTGATGAAATATGGACCATAGAGTATAAAAACATAAACTTAAAACTTTTCAGCAACAATGACAATTGTCCAAGAACCATTAAAAACAAGCATTGGATTGCTTTCATAAGAATACAGTTCATGTCTGTAATCCCAGCACTTTGGGAAGCCAAGGTGGGAGGATCACTTGAGTCCCAGAGTTCAAGACCAGCCTACGCAAAATAGCAAGACCCTATCTATACAAAACATTTAAAACATTAGCCAGGTATGGTGGTGCTTGCCTGTAGTCCCAGTTACTCAGGAGGCTGAGGTGGGAGGATCACTTGAGCCTGGGATGTCAAGGCTGCAGTGAGCCATGATCATGCCATTGCACTCCAGCCTGGGTGACAGAGCAAGACTGCCAAAAAAAAAAAAAAAAAAAAAAAAAAAAAAAAAAAAAGAAAAAAAAGAAAAAACCACAGTTCAAGGGTCTGCCACCTTCATAATAATAAAATAATTTACATTTGCACAATGCTTTGTAGATTGCAAGCACTATTCAAACTAAAAGCAGCATGGAGGATTTATATTTTCAGAAGAAACCACAGGGCAAAAATCGAGAAATCAGAATCAGAAGGAAAGATGAAAGAAACTGTATATAAGAAGTCTGAGGAAGATATCATAATTTTATTCTAAGCATGTGAAAAAGAAGTGGTAGAGCAGCAACTGTTCTGTCTCCTCAGAGCAAGAAGACCCTAAGAAGCTACAATCTAAAGAGATTTGGGGGACACATGTTCTCAGGACCTGAGGCTACGTCATGGTAAAAAATTGTGTGTGTGTGCGTGTGTGTGTGTATATATATAAACATATATATAATATATAATATATATTATATTTATATAACATATAAGTATATATTATATATTATTATATATTATATTTATATATATTTGTTTTATTGCAGATAATTCTGAAAATAAGTATTATTAAAGTTTTACAGTAGGCTTGACATGGTGGCTCATACTTATAATCTCAGCATTTTGGGAGGCCAAAGCACAAGAACAGCTTGAGCCCAGGAATTCAAGACCAGTCTGGGCAACATAGTGAGACCCTTCTATACAAAAAATTTAAAAATTAGCGAGGTGTGGTGGTGTGCACCTGTAGTCCCAGTTACTCGAGAGGCTGGGGCAGGAGGATCACTTGAGCCGGGAAGGTCAAGGCTGCAGTGAGCCATGATCATGCCACTGCACTCTAGCCTGGGTGACAGAGTGAGACCCCACATCAGAAAGAAAGAAAGAGAGAAAGAAAGCAAATAAATCAATAAATAAAGTTCTATAATACTTTAGAAAGGGACCTTCTATATTGTATAATCTTTCCCTTTGAAGATCACATCTGCAATAATTTAGGTATTGCCTAGAAAATTATTTTTAGTGTTCCTTCTGACACTAATTCTATGAGTTCCAGTCCTTTAAGCATTTCCCAAGGGTATCTATAAGAATACACTTCAGATAATAATGCTTTATCACCTTGTCACAAATTACAGGTTTACCTGTGAAGCACATTGCCTCAACTCAACCTAAACACAGAAATAGATGAGAGGGAAGAAGAAACTTATGAGCAACACCAAAGAGAAAAGAAATAAGCAAAAAAAAAAAAAAAAAAAAAAAAAAGATTAATATTTCACATAGTATTGGATACAGAAAAATTAACTAAACCAAACTACACTGGCATCTTCATTTTTTAAAAATCGCTGTGTAATACTATTATCTGGAATGCAATCTGCTCCTGGGTTGAGGAAAAAAATCAAAATATAAATGTATTATCTGTTTTAACACTGAACTCTTCTATTAATAGGAAATTAGCACTCCATGAATAAAATTTAAAGAAAACAATTAGCATGCTAAAATCCATGAGCAAAATGTTTTAATTCTTAGGTATGTTAGACTCCCTTTAGTTCCTTCTAAAAAAAAAGTACCTTACCTATCTATTCTTTGGAGGACATTAATTTTTTTTTGTATTATAACGTTTATCATTTATTGTTTTAATTTTTGCTGTTACTCATAAACTAAAAAAAGAAAACTAAGAGAGGTTCAATTTCCCCAAAGTTTAGCTGCTTTCATCTATAAAAATCCTTATAAAAGAAATATATATGATTTCATTGCTTGAATAAATTGTTTTTACTTCTTTATTCAGGGAAAAGCTATTATAAGTATACAGTGTTAGACTCAGAGGGTTTCCCATTTCAAGAGCAGGCAATCTAAAAGTAAACATACATCTAACCGTTCTTGGAATATGAGTATAGGGACCAAGGATGCCTGTCAGACTATAAAGACACACAGTCTTTGTGGTGTGAGGCACAAAATTAAGGCCCAATATTGTGGACTACCTTGGCAATTGGGGAAACCAGGAGGGCTCCCAATAGCCTAACCGCGAATTCCCCTCTCCATTCTGCGCCTGCAAATAAGGTCCCCTAGCCAAATGACCCCGCTTCTCAAAGAGACCAGACGCAGTTCCATCTTATCTCTGGGTAGCAGATTTTAGTACACTGTCAGCCTGTGGAATTATTCAAACAAGCCAATTATATCCTTCCAAGGGGAAGCAGGTATTACCTCAATTTCTTGATACTACAAAGTCTACCTCCCACAGCCCCTGATTATTCACTGTCTTACCAACAGCAACCTCGGTGTGGCCCTTCGTGGCACACTGTGTTCTCTCCCATTCCAGCTGTGAATATATGTGATTAATAAACCGCTGTTGATCTCATCTGTCCTGTGTTCAGCTACTCCATAACACAAAGGGTGGGAATCCTTCCCTCATCAACCTGGTGAAGAGCAGATGATTGTAACAGTCCCTGCTGCTACCTGGTTTTATCTGTGCCTTAAGATAAATTATTTATCTTCTATGTGCACAAATGCAAATTTTACCCAAGTTGTTCTTACATCTTTTGGTTAGGATTCTAAAATAAGAAGTTTTTTTGATTGACACAAACTGGGAGGACCTTTCTATCCCAAAGGCAGGAGGGTTCCTCAGAGGAAAAGTGCAGTAGTTTCACTCACCTCTGCCACATGGGCAAAAAATGTGTATCTCCAACCTAACTCAGGACTGTTTTTACTGCTTCTGCTCCCAGGCATGAAACCCTAATAGCCAACACCTGTGAAATGTTTATTATGTTCAAGGCACTAAATCATTACAATAACCCTAAAAACGTCAGTACTATTTGTATCCCCCTTTTACAGCTGAAAAAAAAAAATGAAGCTTGGAGAGGTTACCAAGGTCACACAGGTATTAAGTGGCAAAGTAAGGCTTACAAACTCAGAAAGTCTCAATCCAGAAGCAGTCCTTCTCATCACTATGCTTTATTATATCCCACTAGTGGAAGAAAAAGACTAATCAAGACATCTCCCAACTGCTGGAATTTCAATCTATCCCTCAATACCTGCAACGTTTTTAAATTTCTCATTTTTTAACTGTAGTGCATGTAAGGCACTCAGTATAGTACCTGAAACACTCAATAAACATTTGATATGAGTACTTACACAGCAATAATTATAACTATTTTCCTTCTCAAACCATCTACTTCACACTCCAATATTCACTCTCATTAGAGGAAAACTCATCTCACTCTCCTCTCATTCTTCAGGGTCAAGATTGAGACCACTTAAGACATTCCTCAAGGTAAATCTGCAGTTTAGCACATCACTTTGCCTACATTCATCCAATTATCTCGTCTCAGAGGAAGGTATTCTCCTTTCCAATTTAAACCCTTAAGCTCAACCCTTTCCAACTCCCTACAAGGAATTTCCACTTAGTCTGTTAGGATCTCAAACCGATAATTCACTCAACACACAACACATTCAGTAGGTTGAGCCCCTACTAAGTGCCAGGCATTGCAAATTCTGTAATGAATAAAATAGGGGTCCTGGTTTTCCACGAGCTCAGTCTAGTGGAGAATAAAAATATGTTCACGAATGATAACACAAAACAAATGCTATACGTAGGTCTGTGACCCTTAGCCGTGTCTGCCCCGAGATGAGAGGCGAAAGAGGGTGGAGGGAGACCGGGACACCCTACAAAGAGGCCCAAGGATGAGTAAGAATGTAAAAGAGAAGGGCGAAAGAGGAGCTGCCGTGGATAGATTGCGGAAAAGGATGAAAATGGGCGCAGTGAAAGTAGAAGGAGCGAAATGCAAATGGTCAGAAGCGGGCTGAAAGATGAAGCGGACTCGCTGAAGGCAAGCGGGCCTCTTAGAGCGAAGGTGCGGCCATGATATCACTCACCTCTGCCACGGGCTCACCTCCCTGTCCTCGTCCCGCAGGAGCGTGAGTAGTTGCCGCAATAGGCGCACGAGGAGGCAGAAGCGAAAGTCATGCCCCGCGGCGCAGAGAGCCGCTCTTGAGAATGGGACCACAAGTGGGAGCAGCAGGGCTGGTTTTGGGAGCCTTGACTGAGCCCATTCCATTCCCCAGTCAGAGAGCAAGCGTTCCAGCGAGAGCTTCTCCCCAGCGGAGAATGGGAGGCTTTGCTGGCCTTGGGGCTCTTGGACGAACTGCAACACATCCTCCCCGGAGCCCGAGGCCTCCCTCTTGGCACTACAGAACAGGACACTGGAGCTACTGCAGCTTCGAAAACGGCACATTCTCAGGAGCCTCAGCAGTATCCGTTGTCTTTGCTCCAAAAACCAAGCCCGCGCAACCGCTGGGAGCAAAGGAAACCATGGGAACTATCGCGAGTACGTTGGCAAAACATTTCCCCAGGTCTGTGTGGCCAAAGTGAAGAGGTGTGTGTCTTGGTGTAAATAAACCTCCACTGCAACCGATTTCGCTCATTCTTTGGTTCCGCGTTGAGGCTCGCCAGGGTCTAAATCCGCATGGAGACCACGTCTTCCTTAGGCTCCTACTTGAAAAAACTGAAGGGCAGGACGACAGGCCACTGGAGACATTTCACAGAATGGTCATATCAACAACATAGTCAATTCTGTTCGTGTATAGGTGCTTTCCGTGAGTGTGCGTATTACATGCTCTATAACATTGGGCGCACTCTGTGTCGTGTGTATAAATTATGTACATTTGGTTATGTGTGTATATATGTACATATATAATAAATAGGACTGGCTCAAACAGATTCACATATTTTTTCAGTCTATTTGAATTAAAAGAAAAATCTGAGATGGGAAGAAAAGGGACAAAGTATTCAAAGTATTTCGTACACAACTTAAAGTGTGTTTATTTCAGTGTTGTCAGATTTATTAATAGCAAAAAGAAATATACAGTAGGCCCACTTATCTTTGAATTTCAAATAAAGAATAATGTTTTAGTATAAGTATGTTCCATACAATAATACAATAGAAAGTGACTACTTTCTATTAAAGATGAGGTGATAGCCAATGTTGTACTTCTTCCTTCCTCTCCCACTACTTCTAAAATTTGTTTCTTATATTCTTTTTTGTTTGCTTGTTTTGTTTTGTTTTGTTTTGAGACGGAGTCTCACTATGTCACCCAGTCTGGAATGCAATGGTGCGATCTCAGCTCACTGCAACCTCCACCTCCTGGGTTCAAGTGATTCTCCTGCCTCAGCCTCCCAAGTCGCTGGGATTACAGGTGCCCGCCACCAAACTCGGCTAATTTGTGTATTTTTAGTAGAGATGGGGTTTCATCACGTTGGCCCAGCTGGTCTCGAACTCCTGACCTCAGGTGATCCTCCCACCTCAGCCTCCCAAAGTGCTGGGATTACATGCATGAGCCACTGCCCCCAGCCTTGTTCCTTATATTCTAAGGCTTTTTGCTTGCTGTTTGAGAAAGGGAAGTGGGAGCAGCTCCTGATATCCACAAACTGACCTCGCACTTACAATTAGGCATGTTCTTCTCTTGTTGAACATAAACTCACAAAACGCCAACCCAAGACAAGATCACTGGGAGCCTGACCAAGTGAGACAAAACAAGGCCACTTCATAAGCTTGTGCAAGCACGGACAAAAACAAGTTCACTGTGACACCCAGAAAACACCAAACACCCCCTCTTGGCCAAGATAGGTCACTGCTACTTAGCCAGTTAATGTACATCTTTATCCTCCCTCTAGTCTGCCCTCCCTATAAATAAGATTTATTGAAATGTGCAATCATACAATTGCCCCTGCTTTCTGATGGATCTGAGATGGAACTCCTGCTTCCTAGACCTTCCCCCAAATTGTCCAAATTCTATAATAGGTTCGTTCTAACAACTTCTTACTAAAACACATCATAGTTACCTATAGTGTGTGTTGTCCCTCCCTGGACTAAGAGTAATAAATCCAATTTGTCAACTATGGGTATGTTTCTGGTAGTCTGTGGTTGAAGGGCATTGACACATTCCACTGCCTAAAATGTTCTTCCCCAGATATTTATATGGCCCTTTACCTTAGTTCATTCCATTCTTTGCCCATACATCATCTTTTCAGAGAAGCTGTCCCTGACCACACAATTTACAATAACACCCTCATCATCCTCTATCCCTTTACTCTATTTTTCTTCATAGCACTTACTACTTTCTGATATTGTATTATATATTTAGATTATATATACACAAATGTTGATTGTATGTCTCTTCCATTATAATGTAAGTTCCATGAAGACCAATATTTCAACTTGATAATAATTATATCCACAGTGCCTACAACATTGCCTGGCACAAAGTAAGCACCAAATGATATATATTTAATATGTATTGAAAAAATGAATGAAGTTTACAGTGTTGGGGTTTATAAGTTTCATTGTCACATAGTCATAATCAATCTGTTGTTTGGGCTTAGTCTTCCACTTAAATAAATTGGCTTACTGCAAAATCTCCATTCTTAATTCTTTATTTGGACTCATTTCTTATTTGATTTGACTTCATATATTGCCAAGTAATTTTTCACAAATGACTCATGGGTAGTATATTCCCTCAATTTTGTTCAAGTTTGGAATAAGCCGTCTGTTGCTTTTTTTGGTAGATTGTATTATTGTTAGCAATTATCAACTCCTCCTTTTCCAGTAGGAGAGTTATATATCCCTATCCAATTGACTTTGGAAAGTTTTAAGAAAAAAGGGCAATAGGCAGTATTAGACAGGTCACTTAAAGAGAGAGTTGTTGGGATGAAACAGAAAAGGGGATAGTGGTGAAAAAGCAACATATATTTGGCACTTATTGGGTTCCAGACACTCATTCATTCAGCATTAAGCAACCATCTCCATCTACAATTTGTTGGGCCAAGGGATGCTTCACAAATAAGTTAATACTTGAGATGGGTTTTTATGGAAGACCAGGCACTTACCAGGAATTAACCAGACAACATGTTAAGCGAGATGCGGCTATGAAGGAAATGACTATTCCAAGCTCAGGGCTCCAGGCTCAGACTTGAAGGCAGTAAATTGCATGGCATATTCTGGAAACTGTGAGCAGTTTGACACTATGCGTAGTTAATTCATTTAATCCTCAAAGTGACTCTGTGGGAAGGTATTATTATCCCTATTTTACAGATGAAGAATCAGGCTCAAGATCAAAGAGCTAGTAAGTGGCAGTATCAGAATTCCAATCCACTCACATCTTCTCCTTAAGATTTTGTTTCTTCCACTCTACCTTACTAGGGTTTCTGCAGATCCCATGGAGTGACCTTACCAAATCTGTATCCATAAGCATAACATATAGGAAGGGCTCTAAGACTGAATGAGTGTCACTTTATCTTTTGTCATCAATTAATATATATTAAGCACCCACAAGATTGTTGGCATTTTAACACGGGACAGGACAGTTACTACCCTCATGGAATTCATAATCAAATTCAAAAGGCAAGCAAACACTGACAATATGGCTATAAAACCTAACTCATTCCATTTTCAGCCAATGAAACCTTTCTAGAATGTGAAACAATTGATACCTCCAAATCCATTTGATATAGGTTGTTCTCTGACCTCGGGTGATCCTCCCACCTAAGCCTCCCAAAATGAGTTGTTGTTGTTTGAAGTAGGGTTCAAACTACGGAGTTGTTTGAAGTAGGGTTAAGCCCTCCAGATTAAAAACAAAAGTAAAAGTAAAATAACTAGTTGAGAAACAGAAAATTAATTAAACTTTCCGGTGATCCTGTCCCAAAGATGATTATTAAGGCCACTCAGGCTTCTTGGTCTGTTCTGCTTTCCTACAAATAAAATTCCTTTCCTGATCATTGGATCCCCTTTCATTATAGGTAGCTTTTAAACTTGTTTAGTTTTAGCTTGGTTAGGGGGTGAGAGATACAGCAAGAAGGGAAGAGAAGGTTTGCTGTGCTTTGAATGAACAGGTTTCATCATATGTCAGTTGGTCTTCCAAACTTTTAAAACACGTTCAGGAAAGTGACAAAGGCAAGGTAATTCTGTTGCCAGCCTCAGTGATGTAAATGCTGGTGCAAAATAAATTGTATTGTGCCTTCCAATTTACTGACAGGTGACCAACAAACATGACATCTAGAGTGGCATCTATTGCCACTGTAATCTGTATTTCAAAGATACGTCTTATTTTAGTTTACATCAATGAAGCCCCTGAAAGATAAATAGATCCTAAACTTTCAAGAAATACCTGGTTCTAATTACTAAGATTTTTTTTTTTTACTACTAAGTTTTGGGGAGGATAACTCAGAAAAAATGGTTATTAAGTACTCAGTTGCCAGGAAAAATACTAATCTGCCTTAGTTTACTTTACAACAGCATACTTCTATTTGCCGTGAAATATCTTTATAGTAAATAATGAAACTTTCATAATGTTAAGTCCTAATAAAAAATCAATAATGCAATAATTCCCACATAGTTTGCTTTCCCACAATAAAAAATCTTGGAGAAGAGCTTAAGGAATTGCATATTTCCATGTGAAATACAGCTATATTATACCACTTTGATGTTTTATTATACCATGTGGCTTTACTTTATTGAGGAGGATGAAGAATAGATTAGGGATGGGTAGATGATGACATCCATGTCTGATTTCCTGTCAGAGAAAATTAGATATAGTTAGATCTGTTTTCAGTCTAATATCCTGATGGACATTTTCAGCAAAATTTTTTTTTAGGAAAGAAGCACAGGAATTCTACTGCAAGGTATTAATAGGTACAAATTTAAGATTTTTGGAAATGAATGCAGTATTATCCTATAAATATCTTTTTAAAAAGATAAGGAAGGTAGTGAATGGCCTTAATTATGGCAGAAAAAAGTTACTATTTGGTTCCTTGGTTGAAGATATGATCAATAACCAGCCTAAAAGGGAAATATTTTGCTCTCCAAACACCCATCCTGTTGTTTCATTCATTATGGTACTCAGTTGGAAGGGTATTAGCAGAGGATTTTAAAAAATTATGTAACTCACAATGTATTTTTTCAGTCATTAATCACTGAACACTTACTATGTGTCAGACACTAAAGCCCTCTGAAGATGAAATGCTATGGAAATAGTAATAATAAAAAATTAAAATAGTAATAATAAAAAATTAAAAATGCAAGTGTTAATATTATTAATCTTTCAAGATACAGGTCAAATGACAGCACTCGATTTGCTATTCTCTTCTCTGCTTCTACACCTTGTACAAATATTTTTGTACATGTTTGTGTACCTACCTACTGAGCTCCCTAAAGAGGTAGAGACCTTTGGGTTATTCATTTTTGTATTCTCGAGAGCCTAACATAGGGTTTTTGCTACAGATCAAGCAAGGGGTTAGTAAATGCTAGGTGAAATGAGGGAATTAACACAGTACTGCATCATTTAGTATTCAATTAAGAAGACAGTTGTCCAAACACTAAATTTCTTTCTTAAAAGTAGTTAATGTAATGTAGTTGCTGTCTTGTTATCCCAGAACTTGAATTACCATAAGAAGTTGTTAATTCATATTTGATTGTATGTATTCTATTTCAAGATGGTTTATCATGTAGCAAACAGTCTAATAGAGCAGATTCAAATTTGCAAAAGAAATGAAACCTGTATAGTCTCTAAAAGTTTGTAGGCCCTAGAAGTTCACATTGAATTTCGATGAAAACGACTCGCGTCCCTTCCATCCAATTGCTTGCGACTGCCTTACAGATCTTTCCCTTTCCTTTTTTCCCACCCTTTCGCCCTCCG